AAACTAGCGTTGCTCTTGATTGTCATCTCTCACTTGATAAAAGAAATAAGGTGATTTCTGGCCAAGGTAGTTTCTCAGCTCTTTGAGTCTCCTCATTATCACAGCTGATTTTGATCAGTTAAACTTCTGTAAGAAATTATTTTAATTGATGCTTTCCTATATCCTTTTCTTGTTTTTTAGCATCAATGATATTTTAAAATAGGTCAAGTCGAAATTAGTATAATTGCATGCCCTTTTTCACCAGTACAGTTGCTACTTGGTGATGAATCCTTTGGCCATGGCAACCCATGAAACAAAGACTAATACAAAGTGGCTTTCAGTCTTAGGATGTCGAACTCCGCTTCTGCAGTGACAGTGAGGAAGTGGTGAGAAAGGTATTAAAAAGTGCTAAAATCTCTAAATTTTTAAAGACAGTTAATAACCTTAGCGCTTAAGAGTTAACAGTTGAGTTAATACTGTAATCTTAAAATTAGCTCTAAGAATCAGTTCTCAGTTCACTCTGAAACGTGAGATTCCTGTCCAGGGACCACTGAGTAGACATGCTGCCAGAGGAACTGATTCATTACAATCTTGACATTCTCACCATAAACAGAAGAAAGAAGGAAATGTTATTTAAATAAAAGGCTGGTTCACAAGTTTTCTCTGGGAGAGGTAAAGAAGTTGGCTGAGTTAGTTTCTTAGTGGGGAACAGGAGAGGCATTTATATAGCAGGCTATGTGCTAGGCATTTTGCTAAGCACTTTACAAATATTAGGTGCTGTTATTATTCCCATTTTACATTAGAGGAAATGAAGCAAACAGTTTAAGTGACTTGCTCAGGGTCACACAGCTAGTAAGTATCTGAGATTAGATTTAAACTCTGGTCTTCCTGATTCCAGGCCCAGTGCTCTATCCACTGTACCACTAGCTGCCTCCATATCACGTCTGTAAAGACAATAGGAAACATCCTTTCATCAGACATTTTATCATCTTGTCTTGTGCTTGTGATAAGTATTTGCAAAAAGATCATTGTGAAAATATTTGAACTTATGTGGCCACGTTTTTTGTAGAGGTAAAGAAACTTTAATGAAGAATATGATGAGACCTTCCAGATAAAAATAAAGTTTGCTACTCTGTGACTTCAGTACAAAGGTGGGCATAGGAAAAGATGATGAGAAGTATATTAGAAAACATAGATGAGGAATAAGGATTGAGGGAGGCCAAAGATTTGTAATAGCTCCATTCCTCCAAGTCATGCATACTTTCGTGATTTATATTTTCAAGATTCAGAAGGTGATGAACATAGTGAGCATCAGTCAGTATCACAAAAAGTGAAACTGATTTTATTCTAATGGACAGAAAACTACCTGTTACTCATTTGGTAGTCATTCCTGAATCAGCTGCCTGTAGTCAGACTATTGACTTTTTAAAGCAGAGATCAAAATTAGTACAGGGCTAGGAGACATAATAAAAATGAAAAATAATTATTGCATGCAGTTGTTCATCTGGGCTGACCTATTTAAATAAGTTATTGATCAGTGAATTTTAACTTATGTAAATTAGTTGCCATAATGAGGAGAGTAAACAAACCTAAGGTTTTCTTAGCAGTCTTTTGATTGATCTATAAACATGTTTGTAAACTCTTATGGGGAAAGGAGATGTAAGATGATGAGCAAAATCTCCTCATGAAATAGAAGCAGTGGAAGGTAAATCATTTTAAAGCAAGTTTGGTGAGAGATCTGACTGAGCAGAGTTGTTATAATGGAATTTCCGGATGAAAATAGAGGGATAACAAAGAGAAGAAAGTTGGAAAGTTGTACAAAGATTGTTAGAAACCACTGTTTTCACCATTAAGGATAATAAGGACGTAGACTCAAACATCACAGTCCTAGATATGTTTATGGAGGAGATGCAGTTGTAAGGACATCAAGGGATCAATTCACAAGGAAAAGATAACAAAGGCATGGAAAAAATCTGGCACCCTGTTAATAACAAAGAATGGCGGCCTAAAGAACATCACTTACCACTCACACGCATGGTATTTCACCTTTGTAAAATTTTTGTGAGGACAGTCTCTAAACATATCAAGGACGTTCCTGGAGAGGATATGTAGGAAACAGGCTTTCAGAAACAATAGTCCCCACTAGGCCACGTATTTATCATTAAACAGTCAACTGAAAGATATAGGAAATACAAGATTTCATTGTGCTTTTTTATTTATTGATTGTAAATAAGCATTTGATTGAGTAGAACAAAACACCATTTTAACCAGGTATAGCTAGGACAGATAATGTTATTTGGCAGCTCTCTGAACATTAATATCAAGGGAGGATTAAGGTAGGGAGGTAATATATGAACAGTCAAAAGTCTTTTTGACACTATCACAGAGGAGATCCAGCATGGAATCCAAGTTAAAGAGGGATTCCCCGTGGATAGTGAGGTCTTCCAGAACTCTTCTCTGTAGGTGACACCTTGTTGATTGAATTAAGCCATGGGGAGACTTAATAATAACTCAGGAGTTTGGCTTAACCATGTACACAGGAAAAACCACATAGATGGAAAATCTGTAAACTTCATTTATTGGTATGTATTCCTGAGATAGTGTAACTAGACCATAAGTCAGGCCTGCAATTAAACCGAGGAGGGTAATGGGCTGGATTGCCTTTGGCGTTCACAATTTCCTTTAATAACCCCAGAGAGTACACGGGCTATCCACTATCTATCTCGTACTTTTGTCATGTGATCCCCATAGCGTTCATGTCTATCGTATCTTTCTGACATCTTTTCCATCAGTTCTCTTTAATAGCTTCTTCTTTGGCATGCATTACAGCCAATTTAAACACAGTGTGTGCCTCTCTATTTTCCTCTTAGTAGTATGAATTTTCTTTTTCACTTGGAGGGAAATGGAGAGGTGTAAGGTGGGTGTGTGAGTAAGCTGTGTGATCAACAGAGATGATGGGTGTTTTCACAGCGTTCGTAGAAAATGAGGAATGTCCCAGCAGGTTGGATGGCTCTGCCATGCTGAACACGAAGAGGTGGACAAGAGTCACATAGGATGGGCAGGTGTGTTGTCATCTGCATCATTGTAGCAAACAGCGCAATTGGGGAAATCATAGGTCCACTGGAGCTGTGGGCCGCCCTGCAGCCCCCTTTTAGGAAATTCCAGCTCTGTTTTTCATTTTGACATTTTCTCTAACAAGGTTAGTCAGTGGTCTGATTGTACATAGATAAATGATTCAGGAATGACTTCCGGATGAGTAAAGGAATTGTTTTTTATCTTAAAATTTAAATCCATTTTAATTCTAAAAGTTGTTTGCTGTTTACCATATATGCATTGCCCCTAAATACTTTTCTTGAAGAGAGTATTCATGACATAGAGATAGCAGGTTTCTGTGTGATCAACAAGCTTTCAAACTTAGTTTCTTATTCCTGATCCATAGTTTCCAACTTAATTTTGCTTTCCTTTGTCCAACTTTACATTGAAGTCACATGTAAAATTATGTTAATTTAGCTTCTGGGGACTTATCAGGTTCTTTGTAGAATTTCTTTACTTGTTCATCCTCTGCAACAGATATTGAACTTTTTGCAAATGCTTCTGAGTATGACAAGACAAGATGACCCGATGTCTGGTAAAGTGAAATTTCTAGAGGCAGCTAGGTGGCGCAGTGGATAGAGCTCCAGCCTTGTAGTCAGGAGGACCTGAGTTCAAATGTGCCCTCAAACACTTGACACTTACTACCTCTGTGACCCTGGGCAAGTGACTTAACCCCAATTGCCTCACAAAAAAAAAAAGTGACATTTTTATTGCCTTCGTAGGCACCATAAAACTAACTGTTTTTCAAGGAGTATCGGAAAACATGTTTCCATTTAGCTCTGTGAACTTCCTTTTGTCTTATTTCTTTTATAGAGAGAACGTCAAAATTGACATAATTCAGTTCCTTCTGTAGTATTACTATTTCTAAAAATATTAGAAAAAAACTCTTTAAAAAAACCACCCTGGTTCTCCTTCCTGTTACTGTCACTGCAGAAGCAGAAATGGCTTGCATAGAACTTTGTATTTTTCTTTCTTCCACAGGTTGCAATGTCTAAAGAATTCATCCCCAAGTGACCACCTTATTGGTGATAAGCCTCTCTGGACTTAACTAGTCTTCTTTTTGCAAAGCAGACAGTCTATGGAAGAGTTTCTAGTACGGTAGAGAAATCCTAATTTCTATACCATTGCAGTGAGGCATTGGCGTCTAATTTGGCAGAGGGGGACAGTATATAGAGATAAAGGCACCAAGGGCGAATTCTTTAGAGAATACCAACATTAAAGGGTTGAGAAGAAGATGAGAAGCAAATGAAAGGGACAGAAATGACTCTTAAGTTCAAGAAAGAAGAAAGTATCTAGTAGGAGGGAGTAATCAGAAATTGCAGAGATAATGCCAAAAAAAGATACCAGGTTTTGGTTTTTATGTCCCCAGCACTTAGCACAGTTCACATAATAAGCACTTAGTAAATGTTGGTTGATTGGGTTTGGCGCTTAGGAGCTCACTGGTGACCTTGGAGCAGATTCATTAGACTGCATATGTAGATAATTACATGTGGTTGAGACATTCAGTAGAGAGGACGTGGAGGTATTGGATATTGAACAGCTTTCTCAAGCTTAGCAGTGAAGGGGAGCTACTGGTACAGTAGCTGGATGGGTTGAGGAGGTTAAGGAAAGGTTTCAGTGTTGGAGAGACTTAAATCACTTGAAGATACATGAGAGAAGAGACCATTACTTGGCAGGGAGGGATCCTTGGAAGAAGCTGTAGTGGAAGGGAACACTTAATGTTTTCTTTAATTGGATTAAAGAAATTAGAATAAGGATTTCTAAGAGACTGGTGAAAGAACAAAAATTTGGTGCCCCTTAGGAGTCCTTGCAGTTGAAATATACCACCATCCCCTCCGGCTGCTTACAGCCTAGGGTTTGTACCAGTCACAAACTGCCTGGGGTTGGTTTGATCTTTGCCCCTTTGTTTTCTTTAACCATGTCCCCACGTATATGGTGATGGAGTACTGTGTGTGTGGAATGCAGGAGATGCTGGACAGCGTTCCAGAGAAGAGATTTCCAGTCTTTCAGGCTCACGGGTAAGTCACTCTGTCACCTCCCTCCTCCATACCTTCAATTGATAGCATTTTCCTGAATTAGCTTGACTTTGGCATATGTCAGCGAGGCTTCTTGAAGACCAAATTCCCAAGAAGCACATCCTGATCTGTCTATACTTAGTAGGGAGAGGGAGTTACTTCGAGCAAGACCATCTCTACATCACTGTCCTGGGACCACGGCTCCAAATATATAAAATATATATTCCTTGTCAGTGTCATTTAACTCTTTATGCGTATCGGCAGGGACTTTGAGTACATTTTCCATGGTTTTGTAAGTAGTGAAGTCTTAGGATCCAAGGTTTTAATCCCATTACTGTAGATTCTCCCGAAGCCTCTACTTGTGTCTGTTCTGGAATCCTGGGTCTGTTGCTTTTTATGTGATATAGTAGAAAGAGCACTAGGATTGTGGAATACTTAGAGTCAAAGGACCCAAATGTGAGTCCTAGCTCTGCCACCAAATAGCTGTCTTAGGCAAGTCAACTAAGCCTCAGTTTCCACATCTATAAAATAGCTATACGACATGATTTCAGATGTTCTACTCTTGACCATATATGTCCCTGTCAGGAGGCAGGGTTAGAAATTGTTGGCTTATTGTGAAGCTCCCTCCCCCACCAAGTTCACTCCATGTACTATCCTTTCCTGGTAGGGCAAAGAAAAACTTCATCCTAACACCGAATGGCACTTTCCTTCTCTGATGTTTCTTCATGTAGCTGTAGTAATCTAGGATAAAAGGAAACTCTTCCCATCAAGACCTTCAGCTCAGGCAGGAGCTCTTAGAGATTTAAGAGTCTTGCTGATGAAATGCTGACCTTTTGACTGGAGGGGAGGCACCAGAAGAATTAAACTTGAACGAAAGATTATATAGCACATACAGTCCCTTTGCTCCCCCCAACTTTGCTCTAGAGCCTGATGGATTGTCCACATGTGTGCACTTTTCCTCCTACCAGCCTTCTGTAACCTTGATCCTTGGTATCCTTAGCCTTTGGCAGAGCATTTTGAAGGAGGAAAGCACCAGCTTCCTTTAATTTTGTGTAAAAGCAAAGAAAAGTGATCATAGGCACGTGCCAGGGAGAAAGGGCAGTTGTTGTAGGGGAAATGTTAAAAGAAAGAAGAAACTCTCTTTTCTCCTGCTGGGAAACAGAAGCCTGTTGACTTGTAGTCCCACTTCTACATTTCCTGGGGCTATCAACAAAGCCTTCTTCCAGTATTCTTTTTTTGTTTGGTTTGGTTTTAGTTTTGGTTAGGCAATGAGGTTAAGTGACTTGCCCAGGGTCACACAGCTAGTTAAGTGTTATGTGTCTGAGGCCGAATTTGAACTCAGGTCCTCCTGACTCCAAGGCTGGAGCACTACCCACTGCACCACCTAGCTGCCCCCTTCTTCCAGTATTCTGACTCTAGTACATGAAGTCCTGAAAGATTTGAAGCAAATGCAGCCTTTAACATGACCATTCCTACCCATTTTCATCTTTGTTCAAAAAGTTGATGGGTGATGTAGGATTAGCACTAGCCTGCTCTCCAGGAATGCCTCCTGTTCTCTAGTTTACAGCAGCATTCCCAATACTGGCCTCTTCCTGAAACCCTCTTCCTCTGACAAAGATTTGGTGAACTTTCTAGGGAATTTGCTGTGATTCACTGTGGGAAGCTGGACTAGAGCTACCTGAGCTTCTTCAAAGCCCCTTGATGGGGGAATTGTGGCCTTAGGCTTTGCCAGTGAAGTCCTTGAACTTAGAGACTCTCTGAGCTATGGAGAAAGCTTTGACCTCTACAAAATTAGAATACCCAAGGAGAAAATGGCCAGCAATGGGATTTGCATTCCCAACAAATTCTCAGCCATAGAACCTAGGCCAATTTCATTCAATACAGCCCTTTTTTGTTCTTTACTACAACCTTACTTGATTTATTGTCTTTCCTTAGAACCCGGAGTGACCACACTCATTCACTCACTCATTGTCAGGTATCTTTCTAGTGTCCCTAAATTAAACAGGGAGAAGATAGTAACTCAGCCGTGGGGCTTGAAGTTAGACAGAATCCCTTAAGCATATTTGGCATAGGAGAGGGGGGAATGGAGGTGCTTAGATATTTAGAAGATTTTCTTTTCCTTGGTACTTACCAGGGCCAAAGTAGAAACTGGCAAAATGAGTTTGTACCATTAATTTTTTTTAATTGAGCAAAGAAGTTCCATTAGCCCTACTACTACCACCACTCATTTTATAGTCATCAGGTGGAAAGGACTTTCAAAAATAGACTGTGGGCACTAGAAAAGACTGTAGGGCATAGAACATCAGAGCTGGGAAGGATTTGCCAGATCATCAGAATCAACCCCATTGTTCAGAGGAAGCGCATAGATTTGTAGAATTTGGAACTGGAAGAAACGTTAAAGTTCCTTCAGTCCAAGCCCTTCATTTTACAGATGAAGAAACTGAGGGACTCACCTAATGTCACACGGAGAGTTAGTTGCAGAAGGAGGACTAAAACCCAAGTCTCTTAACTCCCAGTCCAAAATCTAAGACATGAGCATTTGCTCTCTGAAGGTGGCCCAGCTAATCAGCATCAAAGCCAGGGTTGGAGCCCCAGTTTTCGTTAACTCTTGTTCAATGCAAGTGTGTACGCTTGAGGGGCCAGATGGGTCTGTTTAACCTTGATATGAATGTACTTCATTTCTCTGATGCCCTTGTATTCTTCTGTGCTTTGCATTCTCTGCAGGTACTTTTGCCAGCTTATAGATGGGTTAGAATACTTACATAGCCAAGGAATTGTCCACAAAGATATAAAACCAGGGAACCTGCTACTTACAACCAATGGGACATTAAAAATATCTGACTTAGGAGTAGCAGAGGTAAGAGAGAGAGAGAGAGAGAGAGAGAGAGAGAGAGAGAGAGAGAGAGAGAGAGAGAGAGTGTGTGTGTGTGTGTGCGCGTGTGCGTGTGTTTGACTTGTTGCCTTCAGACCTGTCCTTATAGAAAGTGGCACCTTTCCTATTACAGTTGTAAATGTGGTATGGCAGAGCCATGTTAATTTATGAGGAGCTGATTTCTTCTTCTTCTTTCTTTTTTTTTTTTTTTGCTATTTTCCCATGTAGGCATTGCATCCTTTTGCAGAAGATGATACGTGCAGAACGAGCCAAGGGTCACCAGCATTCCAGCCACCAGAAATAGCCAATGGCTTAGACACTTTTTCAGGCTTTAAAGTGGACATTTGGTCAGCTGGGGTCACGCTGTAAGTGACTAAGTTCCCATCACCCAGATAGCAGAAGTATTCAAACAGGATCTGGATGGTAGCCCACGAGGAATGCTGTAGAGGGCCTTCCTGTACTGAGTGACAGAGTGGATCACATGCCCTTGGAGGGTCCTTTCAGCTCAGAGGTTGAGTCCATGAACCTATCATGCTCTTTCTGATACAGGGAAATACGAAGGAGAATTGAGGAAAGTCTGGGAGGACAATTGACAGGCAAGGAACTGTCAGCTTTGGACCTCAGAAGATGTAGAGCTGGATGGAATACCTTTCAGAGTGTGTCCTGGGAGACCTCCTGGATTGTGAGGAGCTAGAGATTTGGAATGTTAAGTTAAAAGTACCTTTCAGGGGCAGCTAGGTGGTGCAGTAGATAGAGCACCAGGCCTGGAGTCAGGAGGATCTGAGTTCAAATATGGTCTCAGACACTTGACAGTTAGTAGCTGTGTGACCCTGGGCAAGTCACTTAACCACTGCCTAGCAAAAAACAAACAAAAAAACGTTTCAAATATAGAGAAAAAGGACCTCAGAAATCAAGTTCAGCCCTCTTATTTAACAGAAGGTCAAATTGAGGCCCAGAAGAAGTAAAGGTACTTACCTACCCAAGATAACCCAGCAAAACTTGTGAGAAGGGGCAGCTAGGTGGCCCAGTGGATAGAGCACTGGCCCTAGAGTCAGGAGGACCTGAGTTCAAATCCAGCCTCAGACACACAACACTTACTAGCTGTGTGACCCTGGGCAAGTCACTTAACCCCATTACCTAGCCCACACGTACACACACACAGAAACAGAAACCCAAAAAAACCAAACTTGTGGGAAAAGGTGGAATTTAGCTTTTAGACGGGGTCCCCTTTGTGAGGTGTTCTATTCAAAGGGCAGCTATATTGTATCAGGCCTATATATTAGCTCCGCCACCTCCTCCCCAGGCACTTGATCCCCAGGCCCAGCTAGTCTAATTTGAAAGTGTCCAGTTTACTGACTTGTTTATAGAATGCTGGCTATGCAATTGGGCCTTGAAGCCTGAGACAGTGTATTGAGAGTGCCCTAGTTTGCCTTTCTCAACCCCAGCCAGTTCAAGTAAAATGATTAAAGCAGTCTTATCAATATATTTCACACCCAGCTGAGAAATAAATCAGCTCCTCCTTATGCTTATCAAGACAACACACATCGCACATCTCTTGTTATTTAATATGTCTGTAGCCCAAAAACCCTGGCTGCTTTGTTCACTAACTCAGATGATGACAGTTGGATAACCAAGATACAAGTTGTTAAACTGTAATTACTGGGAACTCTAGGTTCATATGTACAAGGGCTGGATTAAGGAATCAAATAATGTGGTAAGTGAAAAATGAGAGATCTCTGGAACCAGAAGGAACTTTAGAAATCATCCCTTATTCAACACAGAAGGGAAAAAACTTCCTTAAGGTCATATCTATGTCCTTTGCCTTTAAATCTTGTTTTCTTTCCACTGTACCCGAGGGGGATTATCCACACTAGTGTGTTACCTTCCGAATTGTCCTTTTGAAGGCCTTAAACTGTAATTCAGCCATATCTAGGCATTGTGGCCTCTTGAAGTTGTATGTATGATGAGAGAATCTGATGACATTTGTTGTTGTTCACTCGTGTCTGACTCTTCATGCCATGGACCATAGCACACCAACACTGTCCATGGAGTTTTCTTGGGCAAAGATGTAGGAATAGTGTACCATTTCCTTTTCCAGTTGATTAAGTCAAACAGAGGTTAAGTGACTTGCCCAGAGTTACACAGCTAGTTAGTGTCTGAGGCCTGATTTAAACTCAGGTCTTCCTGATTCCAGGTCTAGTGCTCTATCCACTGAGCCACATAGCTGCCTCTGACTTTTCTAGAAATTACTTATGACTGATTCCCAAGAGAGTACTGTGATAGAAACAAAGTTATGGTTATGGTGAACAAACATAGATTAAATTTAGAGAGTGGCAACTATATCCTCATCAACTCACCTTGCACTGTCTGCATATTCTCTAGGGCTTAAAAACATCAAAGTATTCCTTCAACAGTCATTAGTATTTGCTTGTTTTCAAGCAAATAAGACATGCTCCTTGCTCTCTTAGAAGTTATAATCTAACACACACACACACACACACACACACACGTGTTATACATATACATTATATGTCATCATATATATATTTTTTTAAATCTGTGTGTATGTATAATTTATGTTTAAGTGCATAGGGGACATAAAGTTCTGTGAGGCTAGATTAGGGAGAAACTTAATTCTTCCTAGGGTAAATCAGGGAATGCTTCATAAAAGAGCTGGCACTTGAGCTGAATTTTAATGAATGGTTAGATTTTAACAGGTAGTTGAGGTTAGCACTCAAGTCATGAGAAACAAATGTCCAATCCAACAAGCATTTATTAAGCACCTAAAGTGTTCAAGGCATTGTGCTAGATGTCTGGAATACAAAAACACAAATACCCTGGAGCTTATATTCAGTTTGGAGGAGCAACATATAAACAAATAATGAGATACATGATCATTTAAGCAAGGGGAGGGAACTGATAACCAGTCTGCCCATAGGAGATCATAAATCAGCTGAGCATTGAAAGAAGATAGGGGGATTTAAAGATGGAAGTGAGGAGGAAATACTTCTCCAGACCCTACATGCAAAGGCACAGAGGTAGGAAGATGGATTGCAGATTTCATGGGCTGGCCAATGGGCCCATTTGACTGGAACATAGAATGAGTAAAGTGGAAGAATTCAAATTAAGTCTTGAAATGTAGGCTTGACCCATATTGTAAAGGGCTTTAAATGCCAAGCAAAGGAGTTTGTTTTTTATTTTAGAGGTCATAGAGAGCTGTTGAAGGTTCTTGAGCATGAGAGTGACATCATCACACCTGTACTTTTTAATATAAAGACTATTTGGAAGTTCTGTGGTGCATGGATTGGAGAGGGGAAAGACTCCTAGCAGCTTGTTGTAGTAGTGTAGGTGTAGTGGAAAATAAGGGCTTGAACTGAGGTGATAACCATGTGAGTGGAGAGAAGGTGATGAGTGTGAATATGTTCAAAGACATTTGAGTTGGGAAAATATGAGACATATTTGGTTTGATGGCAGCTGCTTAGTTTTTGCATAATGAGGAAAGAAGTAATAGGTGAGATAAGCCTGGGAAAGTAGGTTTATGGCTAGTTACTGTGGACCTTGAATGCTGGGCTAAAGTGTCTCTTAACTTTATTTAATATGTACTGGGGAGTCTTTTAAGGTCTGTGCTGGAGAATTATTCCCTTAGAACTATTTAAGGTTGTACTAGCATGATTAATGAGTCAGGGCAGCGTAAGGTGAATTGGGTTGGGAGAGGAAGGACTGAGGGGGAGAAAAGTTAAAGAGGCATTGTAATAAAATAGTACCATAGGAGGATGTGGATGGGTGGGAACAAGAATGGGTTTTGTTTGGGTTCATTGAGGGGAATAGCCACATAAATGGGACCATGAATTATGTATCAGAAGGAATGAGGGCCTGAATTACAGTAAGGTGGGGACTGATGATGATGAAGATAAAAATAATAGCAGCTAGCATTTGCAGAGCACTTTAAGGTTTGCAGATTTTTAAATTTTATCCTTATAGTAACTCTGGGAGGTAGTTGCTCTTATTCGCCCCATTCTACAGAGTAAGAAACTAAGGCTGAGGGAAATTAATTGACTTTCCCAGGATCACACAGCTAGTAAATATCTGAGGCTAGATTTGCACTTTGGTCTACTGACTGTACCACCTAGCCACTCATGTAAATAATATTGAAGCAATAAGGTAGAGACTTGGTTGGAGAAAGTACCAGAGAGGCGAGTGAGGACAAGATTGCTTAACCTGAGGTCTGTGAATTTGTTCAATAATTGTATCTCTTTATATTTAGTTTCTTTTGTAGCCCTTTGTGTTTTGTGTTATGCATTTTAAAAAATTATTCCAAGAAAGGGGGTCCAAGGACACAGAAAATGTTAAGAACCTTTGGAAAATCCTAGGGCAATGAAAGGATGGTACTTGGGGATTATACCAGCAAACTCATGTTTTTCTCCCTTTCTTTCCTTCTAACTCAAGATACAACATTACGACAGGTCTTTACCCCTTTGAAGGGGACAACATCTATAAATTATTTGAAAACATTGGGAAAGGAGACTACACGATTCCAGGGGATTGTGGTCCTCCACTCTCTGACCTGCTGAAAGGTAAGGAGGCCTGAGATAATGGTGGTTTGGGGGACTCCTCTGGGATTATTCTTATCACATTAGCTTTTGACGGCACTTGAAGTGAAGCAATTCTGGAAGTGGAGAAACCAAACTTTTCCACTTGGCAACTTGATTCCAACACTTTCTTCCAGGGCCTCATTGTGATGTGGGAATGACCCAGGAGTCTCAAGGCTAGGCCAAGGGGAGTGCAAATTCTGACTTTGAGTGTGAGCCTTGTAACATATTGTGGGGCTGTGGTCTAAGACCGAGGCTAGTAAGCCTGGAGAGACACATCACAGAATGTTGGCTGCTAGAGATGCTTTTAGCTATAGTAACTTGGGAAGACTGCTAACTGAGGCACAGTGTGAGTACTCACCAACAAAGCCAGAGATTCTTGAAATCAGTAATGCTGGTCACTGACGCTGAGACATTCAAAAAATGGGATACTGTCCTTGAAATTTGGGAATAACAAACAGGCAGGGAACTTGAAGAGTTCTTTAAAAACACCTCCACTTCTCCAGGGCTTCTACCTGCAGTGGTACCGAGAGTTACCAATGCAGTGCATTCAGTTTCTGCCGCCTTGTTGCTGTGACAGGACTTTCTGTGTCAGCTTGCACTAAGCTCAGCACACCCGACTGTTTTCAGTCCTTTGTCCTCTTCTTACCTTAAATGCTTAATAGATTTTAGGCTCAAACGATCAGTGCCCCTTTACCAAATCCCGAAATCGCCAGTGCTTTCTTTCTTTACTGCAGAAATTCCTAAAGGTCTCCAGAGATGAAGCTATGCAGAGAATTAGTTTAGGGTTATCTAGAAATTTTTCTAGAAACATTGCATTCCACTGGCAGGCATTCTCTAGGTCATGTTCTTTGAGACTGGAAGTTTCTAGCTTTGAGTGTCATTTACATCATGCTGGCAACTACACATAATGGGGCTTTCATTGGCCTCTTGGGGGAAAGCTTGAGGCAGAAATGAGGGCCTTATAGATTGGCCTGATCAGGATGAGAAGAGTTAGGGGAGAAACGAATTGGGAAGGAGCAGCAAAGGCTTTGCCATACATCGACTGAATGACCTTGGACAAGTCCCTTCCCCTCTCTGAACATCAGTTTCCTTCCCTAAAATATCATAGTTTTGGTAATGCTGTATTTTAGAAAGGACTTCGACTAACTGGAATATGTCCAAAAGGGTTGGAGAGAAGACTGAAAACCAGGCCCTATAAGAACCAGTTGAAGTACCTTGAATGGTTAACCTGAAAAAGAGAAGGATTGGCATCTTCAGGTGTTTAAAGGTCTGTGTTGTATAAGAGGATTTAGCATTGTTCCACATAACTCCACAGCAGAGGCATCAGACACAGCCTGGTAGGAACCAGATTCAAATGTAATTGGGAAATGAAGAATAAAAATATGATAGAACCTGGATGATGGTAACATGTGGTTTTCTATTTGAAATTGACACCCTTGCTGTAGAAGACAGAACCAGAAGCAGAGGGTAAAAGTTGTAGAAAAGAAGGTTTGGGGTTGAGATAGAGCCATCAGAGCTCCGTGTTGTGATGATTTAGAATTCTGCAGAAGTGAAATGGGCACCTTCAGGAAGGGGGGGGAAGAGAGGAAGGACAAGCATTTATTAACTGTTTATGTGTCAGACACTGTGTTAAGTGCTTTACAAATATTACTTCCTTTGATTTTCACAACAACCTGTGAGATAGGTGCTATTGTTACAGGGGTTATTGTTATTTGACAGTTGAGAAAACAGAGGTTGATGGAATTTAAGTGACTTGCCCAAGGTCACACAGTAAGTATCTGCAGCAGAATTTGAATTCAAGCCTTTATTACTCCAGGCCCACTACACTACCTAGCTGGTGTGGCACCTTCCTCATAACAAAGTTTTAAAGCAAGGCTGATTGACTGCTTGTTGGGGCTATTTCAGAGGGAACTACTTTTCCAATATGAGTTGGTTTAGCTACCCTTTAGGCTCCCTGCCCACTCTGTGACTCTGTGCCAGCTCTGTTTTTCTCACCTCAAAGCCCCGGTTGGGGAATCTGAAGCAGAATTGCTGGTTCTTTGAAGAGTAGTGACTTTCCTTCAGCCTTGACCCCTGCTTTGGATTGTTCAGCCTTCTCTTTGACTTTTTTACTCATTGTAAACTCTCTATTTGAATTCTGTGACTTAATGTAATTAGTATTGAGTGTGACCTATCAGGCCTGGTACAGTTAAACAAGAATTGTTACTCTTTTTTTTTTTGTCCTTAATATTCATCACCAACCTCAGATCATTCTGAGCTTTCGTGCTTCTGACCCTAATTACAGATCTGTACTGGTCTTTTAGTACTTAGTGTTCCTTACCTGTTCTTAGTATCATCTTCCATGCCTGTCTTTTGACAATCTAAGTTGGTTGATGAGTTCTCGGTGTGTCTCCCTAAGTCTTTTTAGATAGCTCTCCCTTTTGTTCTTCGATGGAGTCATTTGTGTCTTCAGAATACCGTTCTTGAGAACTTCCCGTTCCTTTTGGCCTAGTTTCTCATGCAGACATTTGAAAGAAGAAGGTTCTACTTAGCCTTTCTCTAGATTCTTGAAAGCCACTCTCCCCAAACCTAGAGTTCTTTCCAACTAAACTCGGCTTTTATCCTCTTCTCTGTCAGGAGGCCCTCTTAAGATGTAATGGTCACTTCCCCCCAGACACCCATTATTTCAGCTTCAGCAAACAATTCCTGCTTGTTGGGCAAAAGCGGGTTCAGAAAAGCATTTCTCTCGGTGATTCCTGCTCCTCCTGAAAAAAGGCATTTCATTTCCCCCTTACTTTAGCCCAGATGTTTGCATACTATTGAGAAGACAAATGAAGAACAGTCAGACTTAGTTCTTAGGGAGTGATTAGGGATTTGTTTGTTTGGGAAGAAGACGTTCTTTTACACATGATACTTCACACTCTTTCTCTGAAGATCAAGGAAAAATTATTTTTTAGTTTGGTACCTGTTAAGCAATGAGAATTCATATTCATTAAGGGTGGTTGTTTGTTTCAGGGTACTCATTTTTCTCCAACAGTTTTTAAAGATTTTGGCTGGATGTCACAGAACACACCAAGGGTGTTTGGGGGGCAAAATGAACTACTTGAGTCAATCCTAGTTATGGAAATCGCGGCTCCCCCTCACACATACACACACTCTGCCAGTCCCTGAAAGCAGGAGAGCTTAGAAGACGCCCTTCGGAACTCTTGATGTGTCTCTGTTTTCTTCTTGTTGGGCTCTCCTGTTAGGGAATGTAACATTGCACCGTGCATTAGATAGACATTTGCACCATGCTTTGTCTTAGGGTGGATTCGATGATACTTAAGACAAGGCCTTTCCCCTCAACATGTACATGGATAAATATATGTATTGGAATGTTAATTGCAGAAGAGAAATAGAAAATTATAATAGTAATAGCTGATATTTATGTGGCACTTTAAAATTTGCAAAAGATTTTGCCTTTGCTAACTAATTTTGAGCCTCACCATAACCCTGTGAGGTAGGTTCTACAAGGACTATTATTCCCATTTTGTAGATGAAGAAACTCAGACTGAAGTGACTTGTCCAGAGTCACCCAGCAAGTAGGGGTCTGAGATGGAATGGAAACCCTGATCTTCCTGACTTCAAGTTTAATACTATATTATATCACCTTACCTCTTATTGTGCTGTGAAATCAAATGAGAAAACTCAGAGGAGGAAGAGTTGCATTTATTTAAAAAGGGACTTTAAGGATATCAGTAGCAACCATTGGCAGTGAAGGAGAGGGTATTGAGGTATAGAGAACAGAATAGGCTCTGTTGTATAGTGGAAAGAACACCAGAGAATTAAAGGGCCTGAGTTTGCCTTCTTGCTATTCCACTTATACCTGAGTGATGGCGTAGTCATTTAACTTCTCTGAGGGATCTGACTAGATATCGCTAATGTACATTCTCATTTGAAATCCTCTGATACAAAGCTGTGGAGGAGGTCAATATTTTAGTGTGGCTGAAATTAGAGCATGTGTGCTGAGGGGATTTCTAAACTGGTGCTAGATTTTGGAGAAAGGCTACTTATTCCTAGAGAATAAGAGAAATTTTGCGTTTCGGGCCTTAAAATCTAGTATTGAGCAAAGATTCAAGATCCTATCCAGCTAAACTTAATCAAGGGCTTATGTGCTCCTGGGTTTAGTAGCTCTGAGATGAACGGAGTTGGTCCTGCAGATATTTTGACCTAATCCTTTCTCAGTTGCATGTCCAGAGTGGTACAGTAGGTGGTGCTCTCTGCACTTACTATGAATATCCCCAAAGGGGTGTTCTAGGAAGGTTTGGCCTGTGGCAGATGGTATTTTTCCTCCCATGGTTTAGCTGTGCTTTCTTAAACTGACCTCCCTCATCCTCAGCATGCCTAGCCACCAAGTGGTTAATTCAGTACCTTTTCAGGTTCTTTGGCAAAAGATCTAGTTTTCCTTTGGCAGGCTAGAACTATTTCATAAATAGTTTCATGAGCCTATGCCAGAAATAGCTTTGTGCTGGGTTATCGACCAAAACATTACTGGCAGGGAGAAGAATATAATTTAAGTCTCTAAGATAATGGCCAGTTTCATGGTCCATATAGCATCAGTGATGAGTGTGTATAATTTGTGGGAGCAATTTACCTGAACTTGGAAATTGTTTATATTTTCTTGAATGTATGTCAGTTGATAGCTATTCAAAAACAAAAATTTGTTAATTTTTATACTTAACACTGAGGAGATAGAAAATTAAAGAAAATTTAGTTCATGTACTCCAGAAGGTTTTGTTGTGGAGATATGTATATAATACAAATTGTCAGTGCATAAGGGGACTAGAAAATTCTTTGAGATCAAATGAAGAAGAGAACATTTCTGACTTGAAGGATCTAGGAAGTTTTCCTGGAAGAAGAGGTATTTGATATGGCCCTTGAAAGTTGGGGTAGGATGACAATGCGATGAATTGGGAAAAGTGAATTCCAAGCCTTGGAAACAGCTTGAGCAGATGTAATAAAGT